TGTTTCTGAAAGAAGTCTCTTCTGCTCACCATGGCTGCATTTTTTTGATGAAAATACAGTAAAATCGGTATTATTGCCAAATATTATTACAATTTAAAGTAGCTGTTTTCTATGTGAATATCTGTTAAACTGTAATTTATTTCTGTGATGCGCAGCTGTATTTTCAGCATCATTACTCCAGTCTTCAGTGTCACATGATCTTCAGAAATCATTCTAATATGCTGATTTGCTGCTCAAGAAACATTTCTGATTATTATCAATGTTGAAAACAGTTGTGCTGCACAATATTTTTGTGGAAACGATGCATTACCAAAAGTGTGAGGAAAGTAATATTTTACAAAATAAAGAAAGAAAAAAATTATACTTTTATTCAACAATGATGCATTAAATTGATCAAAGGTGAAGGTAAAGACATTTATAATGTTACAAAAGATTTCTATTTCAAACAAATGCTGTTCTTTTGAACTTTCTATTCATCAAAGAATCCTGAAAAATAAAATGTATCACGGTTTCCACGGCAACACAACTGTTTTCAACATTGATAATAATCAGAAGTGTTTCTTGAGCAGCAAATCAGCATATTAGAATGATTTCTGAAGATCATGTGACACTGAAGACTGGAGTAATGATGCTGAAAATTCAGCTTTACGTCACAGAAATAAATTACAGTTTAACAGATATTCACATAGAAAGCAGCTATTTGAAATTGTAATAATATTTCACAATTTTCCTGTTTTTATGCAGCCATGTATTCTGATCTTACTAGGTTTGGCTGGACTGGGGTTCAGCGCCACTCCCTCCAGCTTCAGCAGGTCTCCCACAACCCCTCTCTGTCCTCTCTCTAGGATGTGAGCGGCGTTGGCACCGATGCGGGGTCGAGGGGTGCAGCGGGCGCTGTAACACCCAGGATCTGGTGCTAACGGACCCTTCAGAAGAGGAGACGAGCCGTTCTGAGCGTTTCCCTCCAGCCGACCACGAGCTTCATCAAGACAACAGAGAGAGATGAGATGAAGCATCACACATGCAAAATGAAGTAAGCCTCACGGTTTCAATCTTACCAGAGGACGGGCGTTTGTAATATTCAGGAAACAGTGTGGGGTCTGGAGGAATGGGACCAGAGATCGCTGAGGGCCCTTCACACATACTGCTGCTGCGGAGGAGTTTAGGACAAGTTTAATTAATCTAGTATATGAAAATATAAGCAGAGTAAATGCAGCCAACAAATAAAACTTAAAATCAAACTTGTTTCATAATGCATTTTATTATATATGAATTATTTTATATTCAGACCAGAATGCTCTTAATATTCAGAGTTAATATAATTTAATATTTTAAAAGTTAATATAATTACTATATTTTATTTAGAATTATATTTATTTATATTTTATTATTTATAGTGTTTTTATAGTATTTATCTATATATTTTATATTCAGACCAGAATGCTCTTAATATTCAGAGTTAATATAATTTACTATAATTTAATATTTGTAAAGTTAATATAATTATTATGTTTTACTTATAATTATATTAATTTCTCTTTTATTATCAATATTAGGCTATATTATAATGATATTAGATATGTATATATTAAGTGTTTTACATTCAGACCAGAATGCATTTAATATCCGTCTAATGATCAGCAGGTCAACAGGTAATTACCACAAAATAAACACGCATTCATTAATATCAGCTTTTAGCAAGCATGACTAATTTATATGAGGGGCATAATGCATTTTCATTTATCTGATCACAGATTGTGGCCCTGCATGAACTCTCACCGTTAGTAAACACCGTTAGTAACATATATAATGAGAATGAGCTCCTGAAGACGCTTACCTTTAATTAAACCCTTAATTCTTTGATAATTGTGCGGATACTGCGCGGTATTTGCTCTTCGGTTACACGCAGACTGATGACGCATTAACAACAAGCGCAAAGCGTCACCATGGCAACGTCTTAAAGAGACAGCAGCGGTTTTGCCATGTAAGCTGTTACATTGTGCAACCTTATCTATCTATCTATCTATCTATCTATCATCACACATAATCACATTTACATAATATCATATTACAATAAATACGCTAACCAGATTATTTAGTAGTATTACTGGAATATATAATACGTATAGTATACTATATACACTATATGCTATATATATATATATTATTTTATTGTTTATTGCATTTATTGTTCTACGTATTAAAATATACAAGTGTGTGTGTATTAAAATCACGCATTTATAATATATATATATATACACAATACATAAGATTATTAGTAGCAGTATTTGAATTATTAGGCCTATATATTTAGTTCAATATGTGCTTATTGTCTTCATCTTTATCTTTCGTCTGCTAAATGACTAAATAAATAAATCTTTATATATTCAGCATCTGAGAAATTAAAGGACATTTATACAATCATTACAGTCTTTATGCGCTAATTCATTCAGTCAGTTTGCACAAATATGGGTGAATAATAATGTGTTTTTCATTAAGAATTAAGAGTTGCGAAATAAAGTTAAATATCATATGAGGAAAAATAGGAAAAGGCTGCGTACTGCGCATGCGCGGTTGACGCACCCCCGCCGCGTTCTCCTTCAGTCTGTCCTCTCGCGCTGCACAGAAGCTCCGTCGGGGACATCGACACGGCAAACACGGTAAACGCTTGCCGACTCACACTCAAAACATGCTGCACTGAAACATTACTCGACATACACAAGCGTTCAGTTGCATTTTGCTTTGAAATGAATGAGCGCTGTTGTTATGTTGTTCACACCGGAGCTGTAGTTATTCCGACAGTGCGCGTTCAGGGCCGCAGGGACGTCATGACAGCATAATACTGATGATTATTAAAGCACCGTTACACGCATTTACCTTTTATTCTTAAAATCACGCATATTAATTATCTTGCAAGTGTATTAGGCTATGCGTCTAATCTGTGGTTTGACATACAATATATCAGTGTTTCATCAAGGACACTGATTCTCTCACTCGTGTAACTGATTTGAGGGGTTGAATATGAAACTTTGTGTCACTGAAAGTCTCACTGATCTGCTTGTTACAATGTAACGGTGTTTCTCCGCGCGTTACAATGTAACGGTGTTTCTCCGCGCGTTACAATGTAACGGTGTTTCTCCGCGCGTTACAATGTAACGGTGTTTCTCCGCGCGTTACAATGTAACGGTGTTTCTCCGCGCGTTACAATGTAACGGTGTTTCTCCGCGCGTTACAATGTAACGGTGTTTCTCCGCGCGTTACAATGTAACGGTGTTTCTCCGCGCGTTACAATGTAACGGTGTTTCTCCGCGCGTTACAATGTAACGGTGTTTCTCCGCGCGTTACAATGTAACGGTGTTTCTCCGCGCGTTACAATGTAACGGTGTTTCTCCGCGCGTTACAATGTAACGGTGTTTCTCCGCGCGTTACAATGTAACGGTGTTTCTCCGCGCGTTACAATGTAACGGTGTTTCTGATCATTATATTATCATCAGAGTAACTTTCCGCCGCCTCTGATGTAACAGTCCGAAATAAACCAATAAACCCGCGCGCTGCAGCCAGTACTCTAATAATTGATACTGATAATTGATCTTGAAGGCATCGAGCTGAGCCTTATTCGTTTTCTGGGCGTTGTGCGTGCGTCGCGTCAGTCAAGCGGCGATGGTTGTGCAGCCTTGAGCGACTTTATTTCTTTGTGTGGCTTGGTTGGGACGGTGCTGAATGACAGCTGTTCTCCAAAACACGATCAAATCCACTAAAACATGATCCGAACTTCCAAGTGTGTCAATGTGTATCATATGAGGCACATCTGGAGCTCATTGTGTCGTCTGCCGTTGTTCTCTGCTCTCTCATTGTTTTCATTATAAACATGTTATTTTGTTACTTTGTCAGGGGTTTCTCACGTGTTTAGGGATTTATCTTATATAAGATCAATAATCAATTATGTTGGGCTAAAACCATTTTTTTGGTGATGACTTTAAAAATCACAGTAGCTCTCTGAACCATTAGTTAATTCGTTTCTTCTCTGGTCTCTCAAGCAGAACTGAATGTGAAGCCACAACTGAAACTGAAGCACCTTTTCTTTATTTTATTTTTTAATATCTTTCACTTTTATAAAGAGTCACAGTGCCATTGCATATCGTATATGCATATAAATGCATGTGTTTGAGTGGTTTATTACAGATTTATAGAGAAGGCGACCAATTTTTTAACAGATTTTTGCGCTTTTCTGCTTCATAGATTATTAATTCTACCAATAAATGGCACCATCTGGTGGGTCTCTAGAGCAAACCACCCATCGACTGTATTACACAATGTGCATTCAGTAAGAAACAGTGTTCACAGATAAAGTAACTTATTTAATGTATTGCTTAATTGCATTCATTCGCGAGTGAGCAGTGCATATAATTTATTATTATTTTATTATATTATTCGTAGCATAAATATTCATAATGTTGTTTTTTATTATTGTATTCTAATGATTTTGGTTATTACTGTGCCAAAAGTCGATATAAAATGATAAAAATAATCAGTTCTGCTCATTGGTTATATGATAAGAAAAATAATTTGTATTTGCATATCGGTCATAACATATAGATAGATATATAGATAACACTAACATATTCTGGGACCACATGGACCTGCACAAAACAATATTACATTTAATACAACTTAAATAGACTATTTAGTCAGAATATGGTTGCATTATAAAGACAGTGAGCTCTTACCACAGATGTTTTGAGATTGTCATTGAGATTGTGTGTTTTTCCCATGAGCTGCACTCGCTCTAATGGCCATCGTGTCTGAGGATGTTCACTAAAGTGCAGTGATTTGTTCATGATTGATGAGCATCTGGCACCAGACTGAGACTGTGCGGGCTGTGCTTCAGTAAATGGTGATGAATAGCAGGTGGATTTCAAATAGGCTTTTAAAGCTGATAAAATGGTCTGGTCACATGATCTCAACATGGCGACCGCCATGTGATCTAGAATAAAACTTAGATTTTTTAGAAGACTGACAGAGTCATCATCTCATACATGCATCATTTTAAACACATCTGATAAAAGTGCAACTCATTTCTTAAGAAAGAAGCTATATGTGGATGCATCCTGGTGTCAAAGTGTTCAGTGTCGAGGAAAACATTTCCCATTTCGTAACGCCTCACGTCACAGGAGCCGCGGTGTCAGTTGAGTCTATTTTTAACGTGTGTGTCTGGGGATCGGGGGAAGGGGGACACGCTCGGTAAAGATGCTGCATCAGCATCCCGTCACCTGGGATCAAGGGCAGAGGTTGCCATGGCGACCCCTTCCATCTGATCTCACACACCTGGTGATGCTGGTCGACGCCGCAGGCTCCAGATGGCCATTGTGTTATGCAGGTAGTCAGTATGCCTTGGGTGATGGTGTGTGTTTGATTGTGATCTCTGACCCCAGATCATGTCTGAGAAAGGACGCAGGCAGAAAGAGACGCATGTGAAAGGAAGCAGTGAGAGCTGCCATCACTGCAAGCCAAAGACATGCGGTGAGTGATGGACAGAGAGAGAGGACGGGACCAACAACAACCTCAGACAGATAGATAGTTAGATAGATAGATAGATAGATCAAGAGAGAGATAGATAGATCAAGAGAGAGAGAGATAGATAGATAGATCAAGAGAGAGATAGATAGATAGATAGATAGATAGATACATACAAACATACATACATGCATACATACATACATACATGCATTTTGGCTTCTAAACCCTCTGGTAGACGAACACCATACACTTCAGTCTGTATGCATCACTGTAAATCTCATTTACAGTGGTTATGAACAATATACTGTAGAACTTGTATTAAACCCAGAACTTTCCTTTGAAGAATAGATTTCTTTATCGTGATACTGACACAACAGAATCAATACTGACCTTCTGACAGATGGACAGTGGGTTCAGGTCAAAGGTTAAATGACAGGAAAGAGTTCTAGAAGAAATAGACCATTATTTTCCTTCCCAGAGTCTCATGGGAATCATAATGCTCGCTGGAAACACGGACATTCACACACATTCAGATAATCTGGGCGTGTTTAAGAGAGTCTTGCTCCTGCAGTTTGTAGAATTAGCTCAAACACTGATGTATATGCATTTAAGTATCTGACTGGATATGTTGCTTAAATTTAAATGCATTAAAAATCTGTCATTATATGATCGATCCCATCGAGGTGTGATGCATTTGCAGGGTTATTATCCATAACTAAAACAATAAAATAAAATAAAAATAAATTTGATTTATTATTACTTATTTTATTTCGGCTAGTTGCAACATTTCTCAATTTAATTTAGTTTAACTTGATGTACTAAAATAACTAAAAATGAAATAAAAATGAATAAAACCTATATAGAAATATAAAAACTAATAAAAATGACAAAGCACACAATAAAGTGATTAAAGTTAAAATTTAAATGAAAAATATAAAATATATAAAAAATATATATAACATATAATAAACTATAAAACTATAATAGTATCTCAGTGATATTAAAATAATGCTGCTCCACACAGCTGCATATTATATCTTTATTATATATATATATTATATCATGAAATATATTATTATTATCATTATATAAATATTAATTATATGATTATATGCATTATTATTTATTATATTTATTTATTTTTGCTTCAAGTCTAGACAGAAAAGACAAACAAAAACCTTTCCTTGTTTTGTGTTTTCAGCTGATATTTTAATATATATTTATACATATTTTTATATTTAAAAAATTCTCCTTCTGAGCATTTGTTTTATGTTGGTCCCCAAGTTGGGTTGTAACACCTTAAATTTTTATATTTTAATTATTTAAATTTATATTGTATTATTTTTAAGTATACCAAAATCAGCTGTGCTTATCCATTAAAGATCCATAAATATTTGAACAATATAATCATTTTTCACGTATTTGCATCTATCAATGTGGCAGTTTCATATAGAAACACTAAAGCACTTTTGTACGTTGCTCTTGAGTGCAGTGTCTGATTTGAAATGAATAACATGAATGTTTAACATGTTAATTCAACATTTTCTTTTCTCAGGCTTTGGAGCTGTTAAGTTGGACCTGAAGACCAAGTCTCAGAGTGGAGTTGTGAGTTGCTTTTTTCTCTCTGTTTTCTTCACTGAGTGCCAACAAGTACCATGGTACTAATCAGTGTGTGTGTGTGAGTGAGAGTGTGTGTGTGTGAGGGTGTCAGTGTGTGTGTGTGTATGTGTGTGTTTGAGAGAGTGAGTGTGTGTGTGTGTGTGTGTGTGTGTGTGTGAGGATAGAAACACACTCTGCTGTAGTTGATAGTCTTACACTGCTCATGATCCTGTACTAGCATGCTGCCTTTAGCGCTACCAGCTGTTTTTCTAGCCGTCTGTAGGACACTGGTCTGTCAGGAGGCGTGCGCCGCTGGTGTTTGTAGACTGATGTAAACAGGTTGTGCAACTTTATGTGCACAATGTCACACGGCCGATGATCTTCAAGCGACTCGGTGTCTCTAAAGTGTCTCCTTGTCTCTTTTTTTTGTCCAGCAAACATGGCTGTCCCTCCTGCATACGCTGACCTCGGTAAATCTGCCAAAGATATCTTCAGCAAAGCATACAGTGAGTGACTTTACAGAGCCACATTACTGCCAAATGTATCACAAACATGAACTATTCAGTGTTGTTTCAGCGAGATTTCTGTATATAGATTTCATTATCATGATACTGACACAACAGAATCAATACTGACCTTCTGACAGATGGACAGTGGGTTCAGGTCAAAGGTTAAATGACAGGAAAGAGTTCTAGAAGAAATAGGCCATTATTTTCCTTCCCAGAGTCTCATGGGAATCATAATGCTCGCTGGAAACACGGACATTCACACACATTCAGTTAATCTGGGAGTGTTTAAGAGAGTCTTGCTCCTGCAGTTTGTAGAATTAGCTCAAACACTGATGTATATGCATTTAAGTATCTGACTGGATATGTTGCTTAAATTTAAATGCATTAAAAATCAGTCATTATATGATCGATCCCATCGAGGTGTGATGCGTTTGCAGGGTTATTATTATAGATAACTAAAACAATCAAATCAAATAAAATAAAATAATAAAATAAAATAAAATAAAATAATGTTATTTTATTTATTATTACTTATTTTATTTCAGCTAATTGCCAAGACGACTTTTCTCAATTTAATTTAGTTTAACTTGATGCACTAAAATAACTAAAAAAAATCTTAAATAAAAATTTATAAAAACTAAATAGAAATATAAAAAACTAATAAAAATGACAAAAACACATAATAAAATGTGAAAAAAAAATTAATAACTAAAATTAAAATGAACAATATAAAATATATATAATATATAACATCTATAAAACTATAATAGTATCTCAGCACTTTTGTACGTTGCTCTTGAGCGCAGTGTCTGATTTGAAATGATTCAAAATAATAACATGAATGTTTAACATGTTAATTCAACATTTTCTTTTCTCAGGCTTTGGAGCTGTTAAGTTGGACCTGAAGACCAAGTCTCAGAGTGGAGTTGTAAGTTGCTTTTTTCTCTCTGTTTCTTCACTAAGTGCCAACAAGTACCACGGTACTAATCAGCTAGTACCATGGTACACGTCGAAGTGTCATGCCATTACCATCTGATATCTGCACTGTGTGCTTGTATGTAAGGGCTATTTTCCTCATCGCTCTTGCTCTTTTTTGAATGTAGTTCATGTTTACTTGTGAACATCCTCTTCCAGATATTCAGTATGTAGATTCAGTGAGCTGTGTGTGTGTGTGTGTGGAGTGATGGACAGAGAGAGAGGACGGGACCAACAACAACCTCAGACAGATAGATAGTTAGATAGATAGATAGATAGATCAAGAGAGAGATAGATAGATCAAGAGAGAGAGAGATAGATAGATAGATCAAGAGAGAGATAGATAGATAGATAGATAGATAGATACATACAAACATACATACATGCATACATACATACATACATAAATAGAACGATAGATAGAACAATAGAGAGATAGACTGGTAAACATGGTCATTTTCACACGTTACACAAGGACTCCAAAGCTACATCCTCACAGGAATTACATCTGTAAAGCATAACAAATTTCAGGATAATTTAGACATTTTACAACTCAAATAAAACTTAAACAAATTATAAGATTATAAGTGCTTTAACAAAAATACAAGCTGTGCATTTTGGCTTTTAAACCCTCTGGTAGACGAACACCATACACTTCAGTCTGTATGCATCACTGTAAATCTCATTTACAGTGGTTATGAACAATATACTGTAGAACTTGTATTAAACCCAGAACTTTCCTTTGAAGACCCCTGTGTGTGTGTGTGTGTGAGAGTGTGTACAGGTATATATGGTTTATGAGGACACAAATGTGTATAATGACATGGGTACTACAACGTAAACATGGTTTATGAGGACACTTCCTGTGTCCCCGTAAAACAAAAGGCTTAAAAAACATACAAAACGGTGTTTTATGAAATTCAAAAACTTGCAGCAGTTTCCTGTGAGGGGTAGGTTTAGGGGTGTAGGGTTGGTGTAGGGCAATAGAAAATACAATTTGTACAGTATAAAAACCATTACGCCTATGGAAAGTCCCCGTAAACCACAAATACAAGTGTGTGTGTGTGTGTGTGTGTGTGTG